TCTCATCCTGGTTCTTAAATCCATTAACTTAAGAAAACAACATGAAAATCTGTTTCCTGGCTCTTGTTCTCCGTTCTCGTAACTTATCCTGGCTGCCACTTCTCTTTTTCTCTTCCTCTTATTGCTTCTGGCTCACTTGCCACTTCAGAGCCTGCAGAGCCGCCCTTCCACCCCTGCCCACCGGGCACTGGAATGGCCAGAGCACTGAGCATGCATCTTCCTTCTTCATGTAGCTTTCCAGATGTTTGCACTGAAAGAACAGAAAATTTTGGGTTTTTTTTTTTTTCTGAATTTGCAGAAAAGGGTCAAAATTAAGGGCAGCACCCAGAACTAAGGAAAAAAACCTTCTGGGCCTAAATGGAGCACATATGGCTGTGGGTCTGCAGAGAGGCGCCGGGCGCTCCTGGCTCTGGCCCATGCAGGTCTCCGCAGCGTTTTGCGGAGCCAGTGTGATTTGGGGTGGAAGGAGCCGCGAGGTTCACATCCAGATTTTGAGTCCTACCCTACCAGCACAGACTGCTTGGTCTGATTTCTGGGCAAAGTCATTGTAGTTAGTGGGGATTTCCACGGGATTTTGGAGCTGTCACTGTTTGTATTCAGGAAAGGCAGCAGCCTTTCTGTAATCATGGTAATAGGAATCATTTCTAGTGAAGCCAACAGTGGCAAGTGAACGTCAGACTGGCATCAGGGTAGGAGAATTGTGTGCGAGTGTAGGCCGAAGTGTCCCTGGCGGCCAAGGGAAAGGAAAAACTTGGTCCAGCTTCCAGGAGGGAGACACAGAAAAGACGGCACGGCAAGGTCTGAGGCAACTGAGCCAGACGGGGGGAGCTCATATTTATACAGGGAAAACTTGCATCTTACAGGTCACACGAGGGCTAATGCACAGCAGATATCTCTGGAAGCCCTCCAGAGAGGAAACTGGAGTTTGGTTTGGGAACTTCTGGTTCTAATTCCTGGAAACGCAGTTTTAGATCAATTTCACAGTGGTTTGAAACTTTTTTTCCCGTGGTTATACAAATTTGGGGAAAACATTCCTCTTGTTGGAATTGTCTTCTGACAGCATAACTGCACTGAAGCGGCCTGGGGTTCTGTACGGCCTCGAAGGTGCCTCGGGAGGAGCGTGCAGGACGCCGGGCGGTGCGCAGGCTCCCGAGGGACTCGCAGCTGCGCTGGTCCATCGGTGCTGCGTTTGCTGCAGCACAGAGCCGTTGCATTTTGCCACACAGCAGGCCTGCAGCTGCTGATGGATTGGGTTTTGCCCTAGCTAAAACCTACCCTGATTGCTACCTGCTCTTTTCACAGCTGGATCAGCCCCTGGCCGTGCAAGCCATGCTGGCCTAGGAGGTAGCATGAGACAGAGCAGCCCTGAGGCCCCAACACTAATGGGAGAGAAAACTCAACTGTTTAATAGTGAGTGCTCCTCTGCCTGTTGGATGTGCTGGGATTTGGTGCTCAGGTGCTTTGTGTTAGAACCTCCCATGGCACCAGGTGTGGGTGTTCAGCCCATGCAGGTACAAGAGGCTGGGAGGACGCTAAGGTTGCCTGTCCTTGGGGGAGTTTTCTGGGGGTGGCTGTGCTTTTTATCTGGGGCATGTGCTGCTATGGGGTCACCTATAGCCCCAGGGGGGTCTCCTGGGTGGAGAGGGTGCTCTGTACAGGGTGTTTAATGCAGGTGCTGGCTGAGCTCTGGCTGTGGGCTCTGTCCAGGTGATGTGGCTCTATTCCAGGAGCTGATGTGGGGTTGTCTTTTGGTGTGAATCCCTTGGAAAAAGGGGTTGCTGCCCCTGTGGGCAGGGAGGCTTGGAGAGCTGGACTCTGTGGGGTGGCTGAGCTCTGCTGTGGGCTTGGCCCTGCCAAAGGGGGCTTTGGGTATAAGCAGTTTCCCCTCCTCTCATTCCAGGTTGCCCCCACTGAACTGGGAGGCCAAATACTAACAGGCCTAAGGCAGCCACCTAAGTGTTAATATTCTCAATTTGGAGTTGGTTTCCTCAGCTACTGCTTCCCAGCCTGCCCTGCAAGCCTGGGATGTTATATTCCTGGATGCTCTAGCTGTTATGGTCAGCGCAGTGCTGCTGTACGTAGGTATCCTCTGAGCTCGCTACTCCTCTGTGTAACCTTGGTGTTATTAGATCCCAATACCCTGCAGGGGCCCAGGCCTGATTCTCATGTTCAGCCTCAAAAAGCTGAAATGCTCTTCTGGAGGGAAAGGTTGCCAAGGAACACAGGGCAGTGGGGCTCCTCCAAGCCAGGGAGTTTTTGAAAGCTTTGCATAAATAGTAGAAGCTGGAAATTGTTTTATGAATTTCATACAACATTCATTTCCTTACCCTACCTCTATAGCCTATGGTTCATTTGGCACGACTAGGTTCTTGGGGCTGCAGTTCTTGCTGTATCGGATGCCTGGGTTGCGTTAACTATGATTTTTCCGTTGATAATCTAATGACTTTTAAGGGTGTCACAAAGAAGACTTAAGGAATATAATATCCTACCTGACACAAATCAATGTGACAGCATAAAGCATGTGGCAAGTATGTGGTGGAAGAACTGCAATTTTGGGGCTTTGATAGAACTCTCTTTATATTAGAGGTAGGGAAGATAGGCTGCACCTCCCCTCCTGGTCATGTCCAGCTATTAATCATCTTCAGGATGGGCAAAAGTAAGGCAACGTGTGAAAGGATGGTGAGCCCCTTGACCCTTGCTCAATTGGGACCCTGCGATCCTTTGCGCCCTCTTCCACCCTGTTCTCCTGTATGAAGATCCATGGAAGTGTTTTTCCACAGAGTTTTAGGAGACCAAAGTTCCCATGTGCAACGTGGATATAGGCTGATGTTTTGTATTTGTAGAGGAAATAAATGGCAGCTGCTTGGCTGGTCTTTAGATGAACTTTCTTATTTCCTGAAAAAAACTGAGAGTAAGAATAAGCAGACATAACTTTTTGGCCTTCCAGGCCAATGCAACTTTGTTAAATCTATAACTAAATCTTTTTAAATACTTATTCCATGAAACTCTTTGAAGATTTTGTACCTCTTGGTTCATTTATTATTTTTCCATTTCAGCTTCCTCCTCTGTGACAGTAATTTGCAGGGACATGACTAATTTCACTTTTTACTTCATTGTGAATTAATTTCTTTTCCTGTCTTTGTGTAGTTAGCTCTAATTTGGGCAGCCTGGCTGATGCCTCATCCCTGCACAAATGCCCCTGATAGCCCTTTATTTTCCGCTAGGAAAAGATTCCCAGAGAATTTGGGGATGTAATTAGTGATGCTGCTTGCTTGCTTTGGGCAGCCTTTCCTGCTGTGGGCCACGTTCCCACATCTCGGCGTGGCTGTTGATTTAGTCCTGAGCCTTTGGGGCCCGGCTGACGGCTGCAGAGCCCAGCGCGGCTGGCACCGCGCGAAGGATGTCCCCGCGTGTCACGGGGCTATCGGCCTGTGCTGGCGCGTGCAGCTCCGAGGGACTGTGGCTGTGACAGCAGGGCCCCGGCAATCCTGCTACTCTGATCCGCTCTTATTCTTGGAGATTGTTATCAGGGATGTGCTAAGAAGAAATAAAGCTGTAAGACAACTGGAATGCTCATGAGACTGAGACCTGTGATGCTGAGGAGGGGAACGGTGCAATTGCCTAAGATGACGTAGCGCATTTTTGTTCCCTTCCAAATGGATTCATGCAAGGAAAGCCCTCAAACATGAAGCTCTTCTTGGTTTCATATTGCTTGTCATTTTTGTGTAGGAAGCTCTCTGCAGGGACATGTCCTTTGCTATTTCCCCAGCAGCTGCAGGGAGAGTGGATTTTTCTCCCTTTTCTTTGTGTGCTTGCTAAATAACAACTATTTTGCTCCACAGAAGTCCTGCACAGATGCGACCTGGAATGGGAAAATCTCTAGTGAATCTGCTGGGCAGCACAGCGAACACCAGGGAAAAGGGACATCCTTCTCTCCAGCATGAGCTATGATCCCAGCCACGAGCAAGGCAACAGGAGTCTTCAACACCATTAACCCTCCCTTCGCCTAGAAGGTAGCTTATATACAGACACACTTGTGAACAGTGAAGTCCTTTTTGTGTGTTCTTCCTGCTACAGTGCGTTGTTAATGCGGGTTTCCTCACCCAACAATTTCTGATGCTGGTCTTCATGCTTCAGCACAAATGTCACAACTTGAGGTTATGACCACACAGTCCCTGTCTTCATGACTAGCAGCACGGTCTAAGCCCTGCTGCTGCTACACAGATGATAATGTGCTGCTTTGTTGTGTCTTGTACATGTACGCGGAGTGTCATTAACATCAAGGCATGAATGATGCTCTAAAATGAGATTAGAGAAGGAGTCATTGTGAGTTGAATCAAGCAGTGACTTGTGCTGCTGAGTAGCTAAGCTGCTGGAATCTCGTGATTGTGGCATTCCTCTTTAAAATAATGTTTCTGTCTTTGTAAGTTATGTCCAATTTCTGAGCAGGGCAATGTAGCCATAGACCTGAGCATGATTAATTATACTTTCTAGAAAGCCAAAAGGACACAAACCAGTTCAATCTTTCACTGTGCCTTGGCATAAGGATCTCATGATCATCAGTCATCATCGCCACCAAATTAAGACACCAAAGGATGCTTTGGCTGTAGAAGCAGGTGTCCTGGTTCCAATGCTATGAGGCTCATCATCTGGGAAGCAAAAAGCCGAAGCGTAATATTGGGCTGGAGAAAGCCAAGGGGATTCAAGAGTATCTTCTGTGCTCTGGGAGGATCATTATAGCAGGCTGCTTTCAAACTCACAGCTCTGGAAGCGTTCTGCTGCTTCACTTAGAGCAAAGCTCAGCTTCATCTGACCTGACACCTGCCAGGCAGATGAAAAGAAATGGTGGTGCTGCCCTGTTTTGAAGGTAGTTCCACTCAAACGTAGCATTTCATGTGTGTGATTTCATGCCTGTGTGATTTTTTTTAATTTTATTTTTGCTTTTGTGCGTGGTTTGGTTGTTGTGTGTCTTCTTTTTTTCTTTCTTTTTTTTGGCTTAGATTCCTACTCTTCCCTGTGAGCGCCTCTTCCACACCCACCCGGGAACGCTGGGAATTGCCTTGGCAGAGACGAAGCCGTAAGTAGCTGGTGCCCCCAGGGCGTGTGTGGTTGCTGGGTCTGAAGATAATTGACTGTTGCAGAGCAGCAGCAGTAGAAGACGCCAGTTAGTCCAAGGCAGACGGAGAGATGGATGACAGGACGGTAGCAGCTACGGTTGTAGTAATAGGCGCTCTGCAGGGGACAGCAAACGGTTGCCCAAGGCACAAACAAATATAGTAACTTGGAAGAAAA